GTGTGCCCACCGGGGCTGACTCACCGCAGGCCCCACTGTGGATGGGCGATGGCGTGGGTGGTCGCGTCCCAGACAGGAGGCGCTGGGCCAGATGGAGACAGACGCGCCTGGCAACTTGGATGGGGCGCCGGTTGTTGCGGATCCCTGGTGCTGCTCTCTTTTAATTGAATCCACGCTGAGGAGGCAGGCAGCAGCCAGGAGCTGCCACCACCCCTGGAGTCCCCGGACACCCTGGCGGGCACCTGTCCCAGGGTGACCCAGGGCCAGGCCAGCCAGGGCGAGAGGCTGGGGTGCGGAGAAGCGCAGGCACAACTGGTTCTTGGTGAGGAAGTTTGGGCAGGAACCACTGCGCGCAGGGATGCTATTTATACAACACCCATCTGGTGAGCATTCTGGGTGCTTCCCTGCAGACACACACTCGGATCCAGTGAGTGCTCATGCCCGAGCGGAGGGCTCACTGTCACGGGGAGTCACCTGCCAGTGTCCTGTCCAACTTAATCCCTTACATGACCCACCCTTTTCCCCACCTAATGATCATAATAATAATCAGCACAGTTACAATTATTCTGTATGCTGTGCTCATCATTTCTATTCTTTCTATTAACCTGCTAAGTAGGTGTCCTCATACTCATTTCTGTGAGGAAACAAAGGTTCACCAAGGTTAACGTACCCAAGGTCACAGGCAATGTTAACTAATGTACCTAAGGTCACAGGCAAGGTTAACTAACGTACCCAAGGTCACACAGTTGTGAGCAATGGACCTGGATACTGAGGCCAGTGCACTGGCTGCCCATGTTAGGTTACTCAGCCAATGGGTGGCCAAGTGGAGCCGGAGCAGGTCTCGCTGACCTCCAAGCCCAGCCATGCTCTGTTCATACCCTGCACCCCACCCTACCTGTCATCTTCCTGCACTCTCCTCAGGTCCCCAGAGAAAGGGGACCCCTAAGAGCCCCCTCCAGAGAGAGGGAGGAGGATGGTTGCTCTCGTGGGCCCAGCACTGAGATTTTATATGGCTTCGGTCCTCAGGAATCTGTAGGCAAATGTCCAACTTCTGTCTTTGGCGAATCCAACTGCACATTTCATCTTCCCAAAGCCCGGCTGAGACACTGAGAACTGGGGCTCCTCCTGCCACCTCCACTTCCTCCACCCTTTCTCTGCCTGCCCTGCTCTTCCTCCTGGCGCACCAGGCAGTGCTAGTGGCACCCACGAGCAGCGGGACCTGGAGCCCACCTGGCTGCTCTGGGCGGCCGGTCAGGGTGAGGAGACCTAGGAGGCCATTCGTTTAGGTTTGCCCCAACCCTGTCTCGGATGAGGGGAAAGGAGAGCCAGAGGCAGCATCCCAGAATCCTTGAGTCCATTTATAGACATGAATGAGACGAGGAAATTACAGGCCTATAAATCTAACTAACTTTGGAAAAAGTCCCAGGAAAATAAGCACTAAGTGCTTATAAATTACTTTAATATGATGAGAAGAAAGGAAAGGAGGGACCAAGGGAAGGAAGAGGGGAAAATGCACCAAGAAAATCAGCACTTACTGAATATCAGTGCTGGGTGCTCTGAGCTCCGAATAGGGAACAGACTGCGTTTTTAGTTCAGCTTTATCATTCAAGGATGTGTGGCTTTTGGTAAGTCACTTCCTTTCCTGGGCCTTGGGTTTCCATTCCAAAAAGTGTTGGCGTAGATGATCTCTAAGTGCCCCCCCCCCCCCCCCCCCCCCCCCAGCCTGTGCGTTTAGAGATGTAGTCTTTACGGACCAGTGCTTCTCCTGCAATGACTGTGAGTCAACGACAGCAGTACCCACACCTCGTCATTTCACACGAGGGCGGCTGGAGTTCTGGAATGTGTGTTGGTGCTGGGGTTCTGTGCTGCCGCTGACAGGGGATGCCTCTTGTCATTCCATTCTATGGTGGTATTCTATCTTCTTATCCAGGGCGGGATCTGGCCACTGGGCTGGGAAGGCCACCATGTCATTAGTAGATCTGAGCCACCAATACGGATGCAGGGGCACTAAGTAGGTGAGAGGAGATCAGATAGGAGAAAAGGTAGTGAGGAAGCCAGAGGAGAGAGGACACGTGAGGTGACAGCAGTGGATAGTCGCCAAGAGGTGTCTGTATGACAGATCCCAGAGGCCAAATCTCTCACCGATAAAAGGGGGATAGCTAAGGGCAATGGAATAAGATAGTAAATACTGATGCTCCTTGACTTATGACGGCATTATCTCCTGATAAACCCAAGGAAAGTTAAAAGTACTGTAAGTCGAAAATGCACGCAACCTACTGACCATCATAGCTTAGCCTAGCCGACCTTACATATGCTCAGATGCGTACATTAGCCTACAGGTGGGTAAAATCATCTCACCACCATAACCCAGCATCATGAAAGAGTATCCTATTACATATCATAGCCCAGGAAAGATGCAAAATTTGAAGTATGATTTCTACTGAATCCGTAGCACTTTCACACCATTGTAAAATGGGAAAAAAATTGTCAATCAAACCATCGTAAGTCAGGGATCATCTGTGCTGTCAAAGGATTTGAGTTCTAGTCCCGGATCTGGTGACTGATGGACGCTTTCCCTTTCTCTCTTCCTCTATAAAATGAGGGACATGCAGGGCCTTTTCCATGACCCTCCTACACAATAGTACTGTATCTTGCTCAATTACTGTGGCATCCTACAGAGCACCTAGGCCCACTTAATGTGAATAGCTCGCTTTGCCATGATGATTTTCATTCCTCTCAGCTTTCTCCAAGGACCCAAGTCATTTTCAACAAAGGATGCCCCTCTCAGAGCTGCCTGATTTCTGTAGAGTCCCCCTCTTGCAGTGCGATGGGGTGCTGCCCTAAGCTGCCCTGCCCCCCATCGTGCCCCCACCCCACCAACTCTTTTCTACCACATCTGAGTCCTCTTGACTACGGTTTGGAGAATATCTGTGGAGTGTGTTGACAATGGGATCCCTGGGTCAACTGGGAATTGAACTAGATGTTCTCTGAGAGTCCCTCTAGTTCTGAGACAGAGAGACCTACATCTCCTCCAGAATCAGGGGACAGAGTGGGGCATGGCTTCTAGGAAACGCAGATCTTGAGAATATTGAAGAACGTATGTGTGGCCAGGCCTTACTTTATGTGATTTTTTTGTAAAACTAGGTAATGTACTGTGAAGAACACTAGTGGGGGTAGGGGGGCTTGGAAAGCAAGAAAGCAAGCAAAAAGGTAGAAGAAGAGAAAGGAAGAAAGAAAGAAAAGGAGGAAGGACGGGAGGAAGGGAAGAAGGAAGGAAGGGAGGGAAGGAGAGAGAAAAGAAATGAAGAAAGAAGTTTAAGGATTAAGGAAATGAGAGAAGGAAAGAAGGAATAAAAGAAAGTAGGGTCAAAGAGTAGCTTGTAAAGAAGAATATAGGGAGATTGTAAATAAAAGATGCAAAGAGGAGAAAGGAGGAAGAGAAAAGAAGGAAGAGAAAAGAGAAGAGAGAGGTGAAAGGAAGCCAGACAGACCAGCATGCTACTTGAGGACATGCTTCCAGGCTGAGGTCCTGCTGCCCCCCCACGCACAG